TATTTCCTGTTCTGGCGCTTACATAAAATGTTAAATAATAATGGTGTTGTATGTTTATACAGCCGGAGGTTAGTCAGCCTCGATGGGCATTTGGTGTCTAAGCTATCGATGAGAAATTTAGCCAGTGCAGTACAACCACTAGCCTGGGGTCTTGAACGTGCACCACGCAGCAGTGATACACGACCGCATGCCGGTATGATGCTCATCCAGATCGAAACGGCGAAGGGTGGGGAGGGATCGAGTTCAGGATCTCTGGGTTCTACAGCGCAAGCTTTCACTCCACAGCGCCAACCCGCCCTAGAATCTTGCTAGTAGCATACGCCAACTCACATTTACAAACAAACCGGAGCACCCTTAGCGGCCCGCCACCATCGCCGCGTAATGTGGTGTGGCAAATGTGGTGTGGGCAAGAAGCACGGCATCCCGCATCGACAAACCATTGGAATGTGATGTTGCCAGCGCCGGTGTGAGCCCACAGGCTCTTTTTTGCATTGGAAGTGTTGATCCTACGTCTTCCTAGCAATGTTCTAATACTTTAGTGGGCCGAGCATCGTTACACAGCAAAACATTATGTAAATAATGTGATGTGTGGCGATTAATTCCGCATGAACGCCGCAGAATGGATGCTAAAGCCTGATTTACATAATTCTGCTCGGTATTTTCAGTCTCGACGTTGCCTGGGCTGCAAAAGCGTGGACAGTAGCTGCGATGCTCAACGTCGATCAATACTAATAATCGCAAGCAGGGTTGAACAAAGTGAATCAGGCATAACAAGTAGGCAATGACCACTGTTAACAATGATAAACATACACATCTCCTTACACTGGAGTCTACTTGGACACCTTCATACTTGGTCTTTTGAGGCTCGCACTTACTTTTTATCGTAATTACCGAGACACTATTTGGGCTACGGGCCACTGTTGTTTGAAAGAGCAGACGACAGTTTGAAAACAAAGTAGACGAATTTGAAAGAGCAGACAACAGTTTGAACGTGAAGACACACTGAACGTGGTCCGGGAGTGGCCCGGACAACTTTACGGTTTTCTCACGTTCATGTTGTAAGAAAACAAATAAATTGTCAGGATTCCAAGTATCCTTTTGTTGAACCCAAAGTGCTTCCCGCACAAGCATCGTGGTTGAACAGTGTCTGTTTTTTTTTTCCTTTTACACGGAACCAATCCACATTCTCGAGCAAACCAATTAGGCAGAGAACACATGAAAACAGATCTTCATACCTTCCCGGTTCTTTTGACACATCCCCAGCCGTGGCGTTTTGATGAGAAGGCAGGTTCTAGGCTGGATTTTTCCAAAACAACAGAGGAATGCCCGTTCCGAATGGCGACTTCTGCTCACACTTCCAAACCGAAAGTGCGCCCGAGGCGCACTTCCGCGACGAAACGTAAGAGTTGAGCTGGTCTACTGACAAATAAAGGAAAGGAATGTGCACTCACACCTTCAACAAGACTTCCAACAGCCATTAAAAACAGTGACAATAAAAAGAAAACAGTATTGCACCATGTCACCACCGATTCGAACCCCGGATCCGGGCTTCGCCTACGCAGCATTAAGTCTGCATTCAGTTGACCCAAACATGAAGAGGAAAATGTCAGGTCAGACAGAGGAGTGGCACATTGCCCGCTAGCTTACTACTGGACGAGGCGCAGCAAAGATCAAGGGTGAAGAAAACAAAAAATGAAAGCCGTTTACAAATCCCTGTAACGCCGAATTGGAGCGCAGCTCTTGAGGAGGAGTAAAGAAGGGTACTGAGGGGGGCCACGTCACCTGCGGGTAGTCATGTGATGTCGGGGGAGGGGGGTCACGTGACCTCGGGGGGGGGGGGGGGGGGGGGTGTCACGTGACCCCCCCCCCCCCCCCGGTTACGTTGACGCTGACGCCGACCAGGCTGGAAACGGGCCCCTAAGAGCTGCGCTCTAAAAGAATTGTGTTGTCTCCTTCGATAGCGGGGAGGTTTACAGCGTGTCTCCACGCTGTAGATGAGAATTTTAGACAGTGCAGTTCCACTGCTAGCTTGGGGAATGAGAACAGCAGGGTGTGTCTATCGAACGCACTTCCGCCGCAACGTTACTGGATCGGTTGCTTCGCCGTGCATTAGCTATGCCATAGCATCTTCATATACTCACAAAGCCTGGCAGTTCGACGACGAGTGCTCGGTAGCATATTTGGAGCACGGGGATCTGCTAGCAGAGAGCATCAAAGAGCCATTTCTCAGTGAACCTGGATGTCAGTGCACAGCATTTGTAACAACGAGGACCTGAAACACACTTGTTCGCTCGGGAGAAGTGTGTTCCGGCGTCTCGCCGCAGCGGGGCGCCAGTCACGTGGCTCTCCTCTCATCCGTTGTCTGCCACTCCACTATAGCCACCATAACTCCACCTTTTCCATTTCGGCGGTCGCTTCTCATAGCGATCTGTTAGGCTGGCTACGCTCACGCGCACTCGAGGTGCGAGCTCGCGTCGAAGGCGGAAATGAAGCTCGATCCTCCCTGCCACTTGGCGTGGATATCGGAACAGCTGCGACAGGCGGGGGTCCCAGGATCCCTGGGTACCAAAGAGAAGAAAAACCCGCCACAGTAATCTTTAGACTCGCTTATCCATGAGCCGATTCGAATATCTATTACACCGGTTTGAAAGACGTGAAAACAAGACAAATCAGTCTGACATAGTCGAAGAAGGAACGGCCGAGTTGTTTGAGAAAGCGATTTGAGAACAAATCGTCGATCGCGTGCCGCGCTTCTTGGTGAAGAATGCTTCTACACCGTGACATCGATCCTGCAATTTCACCATAGGCGTGCTAAAGTTTTCTAACAAAACCCTTTCCAAAGCCAAGAAATTCAGAACCAAGACTCCCCATCTGTTGTTCTCGTTGCGCATTTTCCGCGTTGCTGACGGCATGCAGCTCACGGTGTCGTGGGTGCTGCTAATGAGCGAGCTGGTGAATGACTAGAACTGCTAGAACAACGAAGTCTTTCAGTTCTTATATCCAAAAGTTCTAGCGTTCTAGGTTGTTCTACGTTCTAGCACGGTCTACTGCCGAAAGGCCGCGGAGTGACAACAAATGACGTTACAGAAGCAGAAGTGGCAGAAGCGTCATGTAGCGTCATGTTGTTGCATGTCGCGATCCTGGCGGTTGGTCATAGAAATGCTAACGAAAAGCTGCGAGTAACAGTATGTATGATCTCTATGGAGTAACACAATCGAAAGGGAGTGCCCCTGGCGCCCCTGTCGCCACGACGTCCCAACTTCTGACTGTGGAGGCTTCCGCGGACTCCCCCACACTGGAGAGCGCCTGCGGGCAACCAGCAGCAGAACAAGCGTCAACATGACACTTTTATGACGTCGTTAGGCGGAAATCGAGGAACCACTTTTTTGGACGCGGTAAACACTTTCTCTCTCTCTCTCCCCCCCCCCCCCCCCCCCCCCCCAAAAAAAAAAAAAAAAAAAAAAAAAAGTTCAGCGGCTTACAGAAGAAAATCAATTAACTAAAATAAAATCTTCTACTGTTATCATATCTCACTAAGCATTCACTTTTGCAAGGTATTTTTTCTTTAGCGTTCGCTAGTTCCAGTTTACAACCCCCTGAGGTGGGTTCCCCACAATGATTCCCAAGCTGCAGGGAAGACATTTTGCTGCCTACCTAAACAGTAAGCGTTTTCCATTCACCGGCATCAACGCACAACGTCCGTGCCGCTACAGAAGCAGAATGCGCTGTCGTTCGAAGCGTATATATCTCCTGCAAGTACCGTAGATCGTATCCCCGTTTCGATCTGGGAGTGACACACGACCGTACGTTGTGTTTTCGATTGTGTGTCACTACTTAGTCGTACTGCACTTTCTAAATTTCTCATTGACAGGTCGAGGACGCGAAGACGTGCACCACATGCTGACTAATTCCCGCTGTCTAAACATACACACATCACACAATTACTTTCTAGTCAGTGCATGCCACATACCGAACTCTTGTTGCCCTCGTATGATAGTTGAGAACAATTAGCTTCGTTCTATATTTGCGCTCCTGTCTTTTTCGCGTCCTATCTGCTTTTTGTCCCTCGACTGCGGGCAGCGTGGAATCTGAACAAAATAATTTTAAGCTCAAAGTCCGACAAAATATTACAGAGAAACTTTGAGGCATAATTCGCTTGTGCTTCATGTGTTAGTCGATTGTTTGCACTTTTTTGCTCGATATTTAGAACGTTAAGCATCAGTTCACACATTCAATCTAAGACTCATTGCAGCTAAGCTAAGAAGGGAAACGTATACTATAGAAATAATAAAGACCTGGGTCTTTAGCGTGCATCACGCAGTAGCTATATAGGACCGCATGTACGCCGAGATATGTAGTATATGTGCATCATAATCGTTAATTCCCATCGTGCACACGCGTTTTCTTGTAGCGCCATTGCGCTAATTCAGAGTTTAACGGACTGTGCACCCGACACAGGCCGCGTTTGGGCGTAAATATTGAGATTGTATAAGGAGTGGACTAAATAAACGAGTTCTGTCTATTTTGTGTCTCTCCGACGTTTTAATGTTTCCCATCTACCCCAGTCTCAGGCTAATCCAACATGGTTAATATTCACCAGCTCGCCTGCACCCTTACGATATATTTTTTTATGATAAATATCGCAGCCAAGAAAGTTATTAAAAAAAAAAAGGGGGGGGGGGGTCAAGATTAGCAAAGGAAAAAAAGCCAGAGGAGGGAAGGAAAAAAGGCGGATTCAACTGTCCGCTTTTATCGTCTGCTGCGGTTACCCCAAAACCGAAAACGGAACAAGTTGAAGCGACAGCCGTTCTTATCCGATGCAATCCACTATACTGGCCAACATAAACTGGCTACATTCTCGACAAAAAAAAAAATTCTATATTTATTGCTATGATTATTTTTGGTACCTAAACAATTTCTAAATTTGTTTCGTTAACACCGACAAAATCGAAATAACAAAGTTCAAGGCAGCAGCTGTTTTTATCCGATCCAATCCACTTGACTGGCTACATATCGAAACGTTGACCCCGACTATGCCCGAACCCGTCTCTTCGTTTATGCGGCTATCATTGAACATATAACTTTTTGTTTCGCCAATATCAAGTAGTAGAATATTCTTCTAAAGCTTGCGGTAAGTGTTTCCCCACGTATTCAGCGTCGCGCCTTGTATTTAATGGATCGCATGAATCCAGTAACGTGGTTTCTTCGAGTGTTTGACAGGTGCATTTTTGGTTTGACAGCGCCCATCAGGCTTTGGTTGTTTTCAAACGATTTATGCTAGCTTCAACAGCATTCATGCTTTGACTTCGTGATTATCGGCTAACATTTGTTATGATTTCAGCGTGTGAAATCTCATGACTAACCAGCTACGAGTCTCATTGCCGTTTAAACAAAACAAAATTGATAAAAAAAAAATAAATAAAAAAAAAGTGTCCGAGCAAGGTTAGCGTTGCGTCTAGACCAGGGGCGTTGGAGCTTTATGGCTAAGGGGCCAGATTAGGTGTCTGTCGTAGTCTCGACGGCCAAAAATATAAATAAAATAAATCAATAATCACTGATGAGCAAAAGTTCAAAGTGGAGTAAAATTAAAAAGGAATCCAAGGTGTATTCATAAAAAAAACCTACATTTGAACAACACGACTTGCGAGTGAAACAGTTGAATTTCGGGTGTTTCGAACGGACCTTCCACTGTGAAGCGAGCCGGAAAAATCACATAGAATGCTCAAACTTGAACCAAATGTGCACTGAGCTGGTCACTGTGAAAAATCTCAAGGCATAGGTACCTTTTAGTAAAAAAATTAGAGCAAAAATCTTGCCAAAGTTTACAGTTAGGCCTGTTCGCAGGCGACTGAGTTACCAGTGCTATTAACTTCTAGCGCAACTCCCGATAGGCGCAGCAAGCAGATGACGCACTCTGTTTGCTTGCTACGCCTGTCGGGAGATGGCGCCACAAGTTAATAACATCCATAACTTGGTCGTCTGGGATTGGGCCTAACATAGGCATTGACAAGTTTTAGAGCACAGCTCTTAGGCGCCCGTTTCCGGCTTGAGCAGCGTCGCCGTTGCCACCAACGTAACCGCGGCAACGTTTCGGCACTGTGCCGAAACATCTTTGCGGGGTCACGTGACCTCAGGGGGTCCTAGGACCCCACGTGATCCCGTGAGGTCATGAGGGTCACGCGACGTCACAAGGATCATGTGACCTCACGGTTACGCCGACACCGATGCGCTCGGGGGGAGTAGCAGGCAGGATGAGGAGGAGGGACGAGGGGTATGCCCTCCCCTCAGTACCCTTCCCTCCTCCTCCTCAAGAGCTGCACTCTAGCTCGGTGTTACAGGGAGTTGTAAACGGCTTTCATCTTAGAGCGCAGCTCATAGGCGCCCGTTTCCGTCTTGAGCGGCATCGGCGTCGGCGTAACCGCGCGGTGCATTATGGGAAATGTCGTATAATGCACCGTACGAGCCCCCCCCCCCCCCCCCCCGGGTCACGTGACCTCAGGGGGGGGGGGGCACGTAACCCCCCCCCCCCCCCCCCCTTCCTGAGGTCACTTGACCCCTTCCTCCCCGAAGTCACGTGGCCCCCTCCCCGAGGTCACGTGACCCCCCTGATGACATCGTCGTCACTGATGACGTCACCGGCATCCGCATCATCATCATATCATCATCACTGATGACGTCACTAATGACGTCACCGGCATCCACATCGTCATCATCACTGATGACGTAATCAGTGACGTCACTGATGACGTCACCGACATCCGCATCGTCATCATCACTGATGACGTCACCGACATCCGCATCGTCATCATCACTGATGACGTCATCAGTGACGTCATCGGTATCGTCATCGTCACTGATGACGTCATGAGTGACGTCACTGATGACATCATCGGCATTGTCATCGTCACATGACCCCCCAAGGTCACGTGACCCCCCCCCCCCGGTACCCTTCCCTCCTCCTCCTCAAAAGCTGTGCTCTAATTCGACATTACAGGTAGTTGTAAACGGCTTTCACTTTTTTTTATTTTGCTTTCATTTTTACGGAAAAATACCTATGCCTTGACATTTCACAGAGTAAGACTGACCTGCTCAGTGCACATTCAGTCAATGTTCGAGCCTTCTATACACATCTGCAAGTACGCCCTCAGGGTGCCACCATCTTGCTCACGTGGGGTGCGCTTATGCGTGGCCATAATCCGATTACTTAGGCGTCGTAATTGGATTATGGCTGCGTCCAAGCATATCCCAGCCGTGCAAGATGGCAGCACTCTGAGGTCGTGCTTGCAAACGTGAATATGCAGACACCTATTTTTTTTTTTTTGGCTTGTTTTACGGGGGAAGGTTTGCTTGGGACACTATATATAGCATATTTGAACATTTAGCAAATTTACATTCACTAAAATCATTATACAATAATTAATTCATGCCCAGTGATTAATGATTCATGCCCAGTGAGAAACTCACTGGGCATGAATCAGACTGCATAGGAATGTTGGCATATTCGCCCGGCAAAACACTAATGAGGATGGCAACACCGAGGATGATATTATGTCATATTCACGACACAGGATCCTAAGCACAATATACATGACAACGCAAAATAAATTTAACGTAGTTACACGAACATGAAAAAGGAAACTAAGAATGGAGATGCCGGTTATGACAGCGGACAATAAATGTGATGCGCAGCTATCGGCGGTACAAGATCTGATACAGATATGAAGTGGTTGGTGAGCCTTGCGGGGGCGTTTCTTTACACGCGCCTACTTTTGCCTGGTAGCGGCGGGCCAGCTGAAAGTAGGCCGCGTACCAGTCATCACTCCAAGGACCATAGCCAGCTGTCGGCCAAATCTGGCCCGTAAGCCGAGGTTTGGGGACCCCTGGTGCAGACAAAACGCTAGAGCCAGCGATACAGTTTCGTCCTGGTGGAATGATAGTAGCCAGTATGGCTCTGGCGGTTTAGGATGGCTTCCAGGTTATACGAGAACTTGCGGATTTGATTTTACTGTGAAAGCTATAGCATCTGATTTACGTGGGGCGGTTGATCGCATCGGCTTGCATCGAGTTGTGAACGCTTCCTCAATTAAAACCACACAAAAAAGAAAGAATTGGATATTGGGCAATTTCTTGCTTTAGAAATGCTACTGAGCAGCTCTACATCATTTCTCTCCTGAAAAGTTAAAAATATTTTTGGGACAGTCAGTCTCGGATACGGTCGCAAAACCGAAACTTTGCCTACAGCGGGCCACATCGGCCACGTTGGCAACGAAGTCGAAGCGATGCGAACAGCGAGCCAACCAAAATGTGTCTTCCAGCTTGGGAAAGGAGGATGAAGAAAAATAAAAGTGAGAGGGACTGATTAGCATATTTTCTGGACCATGCCCTCTCCTCTTTCTTAGGTGTGCACTTCTCTTGTATGGGGTATCGAGTTATCATTACAGGAACATGACGTTGTAGTTACCACGGCGTCATGGTCGCTTACTCCAGGCATAATTGACATAGATTTAACGGCATTTACTTTATTGCATAGTGCCAAGTCTAACACGCTAGAACAGTTCTGTCTTTCTTCTAGGGTTGTCAACAAACTGGTGTAGCTAAAAATCGTTAATAATGTCTAGAAAGGCAGTGTAAATGCTGTATGAGCTACTCATCACCTGGTAACTACTGCGCCATTCAATATCTGGAAGATTAAAATCTCCCTCCAAAAGAACATAATCCACACAATTACTGTGCCCATGAAGTTGTTTATTTCGAGAATAGGATCAACATTACTGTTTGGCAGTCTATAAAAAAAAAAAAAAAAAAAAAACGCTGGCCATTTTGTAAAGAAATTTTGCCCGACGCTGCCTCACGAAAGCCCCTACATAGCGATTGGACGACTTACGAGATTTTCATGCACAAAAAGAGACACTCCTCCTCCACAAGAATTGCGGTATAGATGACTTTATTACGGAGATCAGCGCGGCAAAATCATATGGTTTATTTTTGACGCTACGACAAGAGTTACAATGTCTCGTCTGCTTGTGACACGACAGGATTTTCGTAATTGCTATATGCCACATTCCTTGACACATTGGTCTCCATGATCATACACAAAGGTCTTGTTCCTGATAATCAGCGCATTATATTTTAATTGAAACCTCTCATTCCCATTCCTTGCATACTCTAACAGATGCTTCCATTCAGTACACACTCGCACAGAAAAACCCTCGCCGATAAAAAACCCACTGCCTTTCAGCTTACGTGCTGTCATCAGGCCATTTGTTTTATTTTGAAAACACTGAGGTTTTCAATAATAGTTTGTTTTGCTCTCAGATTGAATCACCGAAGACAATGCCAGCGTTCTGTCAGCTGATTTCAGAGGGCAACCAAGTTTATCTCGACATGTTGATATCACTCGTTCCTCCGATTGTGTCCACGTTTCATTTTGGCCTCAAATACAAAAAAGTTATTGTTCCGTGGCGACTGATTTTCCAGATTATCCTGCTGTATTGCTATCCACTGTACATGAGCTGTGAGGTTAGCTGTGATGGCGTTTGCATTTTGTATGTCACATTGCACTTGCTTCAATTGGGCAAAATCGGTCTCGAGTTCGCTAGCTCAAGATGACAAAGCATTTATAGTTTATTTTCTAGTGATTCCTTAAAGGGGCCCTGCAATCATATTTAAGCGTCTACCTTTTTTGCGGTTTCCACGTCTCTTGGGGTCCGGGCAAGCCAGCGGGCACGGAGAGAGTAACTAAATATCAGTGCGTCATATTTTAACCGGACGACGCGGAAACCACCTCCACCGACGAGGGCGACCCGCGGTACCGAAAGCGCGCGAAATGTGACGTGTTTGGTCCTAGGCTTACTACTGGTCAGAGCCGCTAAAAGCTTTTTCGTAGTCGAAATACAAAATAGAACTGGCGCGACCCGTTTCAATTATTTATAAAAGAAGTTTTTGTTCAGTATTTTAGATCAGAAAAGAAACAAATGCAGTTTATAAAGTACAAAAACAAGAAAAGACCCTTTGACATACCCGCCACCAAGCGGCGGAAAAAACGGCGCATACTAGAAATAACTAGTGGGATGAGGCTACGACGAACGGCCAGCGTAGAGAAGCCCCGGATGTACGCGGCGGCGCTGCGGTCGTATACCGGCTCAACGATCCGACCGGTTCCGAGCGTTCCGAAGGCCTTCGGCGCGGGCCCTGCTGGCGATTTGGCCATTTGGCGGCATAGCAGCGCGAAGTGGCTCCCGTTCTGAACTGATCTTTACCCCGTGTTTGCTGTCGTTTGTGGCCAATGAAGTGTTATGTCGAAATAGTCTTTAATCGCGCAGCAAATGCAATGCCGAGCCGCCCCGGCCGCCCGCTTCATAGAGCCTATCCAACATATGCTTTAGTGGCGCCCTCTCGAGCCGTTGACCCGGAGTGCGGCAACCATGAACGCTCGATGGGCTCACTACCCCTCCTCTAGTTCATGGCCACTCAAGCCAGGACCTACTACGTCATGAAGGAGGTTATTTTTTGCTTGTTTTTGTAATTCTAATTCGCCTAAAGTTTTAAAATAATGCGAAATTTGAGAAAAGAAAAGTTTGATTAAGTTACTAGGTTCAGCGCGCTGAGGTTTGGTGCAAAATAAAACCAGTCAAAAAGTCATTGCAGGGCCCCTTTAACAGTTTTTAGTTCACTAAGATGCGTGACCTGGCCCTCTACAAGTTTAGGAAAAGATGTCAAGGGTTCAAGAACCTGGAGCTCCTGTGCGGCAGTAAAGGGTCCCGGATTCAATTCGACATCTCCGGACGTCAAAAGATGCCCCCTAATTACTGCTCCGACAACCTTACGAGTTGTGTTTTGCCAAGTGTACAAGGCATCAAAAAGACACTTCAAAGGTGTGGGGCACGGCATTGACATAAGAAAATGGTCCCGTGACATTGTGTTGCAGAGAACGAACCTGAAGCAGGAAGATACATGAGCAAAAACGTTCCATGTCGGCACTGAACCCAGGGGAGGTGCCGCGCTGCCACCCCTTTTTGTGCTTATGGTTATCTGACGTTTGCAGTTGTTGCCAGTCAACGTTCACGAAAAAATTAGGAAATTGTGCCGGAATTTCCGCTGTAGGCCATACGGATGGTATACAGCGGCCTGATACCTGGGCAGCCCTCCCTGGTGTCGACTGCAGTCTCTGCCTGGCCTGATGTTGCGTCCCATGTTACATGTCGAGGTCAGCACCTGAAGCTGGAAGACACATGAGCAAAAACATTCCATGTCGGTGCGAAACCCTTTGCGCGAGGAGCAAATTAACATGCTCACCATATACTGTGCCTCTTCTGCAGCACACGGTAACTGCCTTGTTCCGAGTCGGTTACGCACACGTTTGGGCCTTGTGTCATTATGGTCACGTCTGAGGGAAATCTGAGAGATAGGCCTCCGTAGCTCACATATTACCAATGCCAGAATGGCGATTGTCAACCATTTGATTACAACAAATTTAAACAGAATGTTGTTTGCTACTTCTGAATGTTCTCGTAACATACTTACAATAGGCAAATAAGTTGCCCAGAGGTTCATCCCAGAGCAGTCAGTATGTGCTTGTAGCATCTACTGATCCTGTAAAAAAAATGTTTAAATTGTTATTTCCTAATGCTCCTAATCTCACACTGGAACATAAAAAACAGACATCCATTTAATTCCCTAATAGTTGCGGTGCATGACATTTGCCTTGCAGCATCAAGAAACCACAAGAGACGTGACACTGGAGGCACCAATCGCTTCATCATCTGGTGAGTGAGCCACCGATCTCATTTCCAACAAATAAGCAAAGTTTCAGAGTATTGACACTTGAGCCATCTTGGCGCTTAAAATCGTGGTGACCAGTTAACTGAAGCCATATCTGAAATCGGAGGAAATGCTTTTCCGTCCTTCAGAAATGTCAAAACAGTCCACGACAGAGAAAAATAATATCGCCCGAGTTTTCTGTCACCTTATCTAAAGTTCAGGAAGTTGCATTTTTAAATCATAACGGTCGCCGTGCAGCCTCATTCCCCAATCATCCTGTGGACAATGTCCACAGGATAATTGGGGAATGAGGTACCGATACTTTAAGCATACATTTTTTGCTGATTCTACCTTTGCCCGTTCTCTTTTCTCTAATTTTACAGTGTTGATGTTGCATTTAAGGTGTGCTGCGCACACGCTGCAGCTCGCTGTACAGTATGCTCTCAAGCCTACAGTTGCTAGCGACATAGTACAGAAGGCCCGAAAAGTTGTGAAGACAATGAGGTTGTGGACCGTGCTGCTGCCCCTGGCTTCGGAAGGTCAATCTGAAGAAGCCCATCTTGAAATCCGGAATGAGGTGAATTTTGACCGGGACCATGATGCGACGATCGCCGAAGCTGAAACAGTTTTGCTGCGAGTTTATCGCAGGCAATATTGAACACCGCCTTCCTCAAGAAGACTGGCAATCAATAAGGAACGCAGTTGCCTCCCTGGGGCTGGCCGAGGAAGCAACAGTGCAGCTTCAAAGGGAGAAAGGGACTTTGCAGGACTTCTGCGGAGCACGGCTCACGTGTTGAATTGAGACTTTAAAAATTGACACCCCGGTCGCGAATCAGCTGGCCGCTGCCATGAAAAGGCAAGAGAAGGTGTTGCCTGGAAGCCAGATATTCTGTACGGCTATATTTTTGTATCCACAATGCCATGTCATGTTAATAAGTGAGGAGAGGTCCAGAACAAAGCAACATCTGCTGCTGGCGTGGAAGAAGCTTCGCCACTTAAGAAGACGTCCTGCCACAGCAACCTCAAGCACCGTGCACAATGGGGAGTTCCACTTGCCCTGATGACGACCTCGAAGCATTCTTTATGTAAAAAGAAGGCGGCTGCCTGAAAGCATTTAGCGACCAATCTTCGATGTTCGGAAAAATGCCCTGAATTAGCGAGGGCAGAAATGTCATGGAACTTTGTAAAAAGGAGAAGTCCCGGCACTTTGAATCATATTCACTCGCTGTCGTTGCCCTTCCAGTGCCGGCCACGCAAGTTAGCGTGGAAAAGTCCTTCTCGGGGTAAAGCGACTGAGCCCGAACACACTAGATGGCGTCCTTTTCCTCCGGTCGTTTCACACAGCCAAGGGAGAGCGTACACATCAGTACTGTTCTGCCTGTACATGTAACAATTTTTGAGATGCAGTCGTCCATTTTTGCAGTCGATATAATTTCAGTAGACAGACGGATTACGCAAAAGCAAATAATTAAGCACTTATTTTATACCATACTAATCCACTTCATGGTATTAGAGTTGTGTTAATATTCGGTTGAATTTTTCTCTTTTCCTCGAACCATTGTATGAACCTGTTTAAACTGATCCGATCTGTTATTTTTTTCGCTTCGGAGCTGAACCTGAACCGAACCGAAATATTTGAACCGTAACCTGAACCAAACTGGAAAGAGTTCCGGTTCGACATCCTTCTTAATAGACCCTTTTCTAAATCCTGTCAAGCAACATTGGCGGTCGCCATTTCTTGGGCAGAAAGCATCACGATTCGATCAGAGTCCCCGCCGAACTCCGACGCAGCACCCGTTTTCGGTACGAGTTCAGCAGAGTTTGTGCCAAATGTTGACGTAGCCTTCGTGTTTAATACACGCTTAGGATGCGTGCCCAAAGAACGGCTAACTCGGATAATTGGCGGAGCAGCTACTGGATGGCGTACACTTTTGAAAAGGGCCTATTCTCTGGACCAAGCGTCCAGCGTGCTCCCATCGGTTGCATTACCTCCGTACACAGCGCACAAACAGTTGTGAATGTTTTCCACAGTTTATTTCTGTGCCACTAAGAATTCGGTAGGCCTTTTGCCAAATTACCCGAGCATGTAGGAGAATGGTGGGAACGTAAATATGTGCCCCGAATGTGCTCGCACTTTCTTTTTTAGAACTTTAAAGAACCGTCGAGGCTCGTCCACACACATGCGTTTGCTTACGAACGGGTTCTTGTGATCTCTTAACAACGAGATATTGCAGTGGCACGGTGGCACCATCTATGGGGCGGCTCTGGAACTGCGTTTCAGTAAAGCGAAGGTTTTGCTTTATTTGCGAGATCAAACATACGTATTGTGTACGAGAAATGGTTGTTTATAACATTGTCCAAAGTTTTCAAGCTAGTAAAGAATGCCACGCGAAAAAAGTGGGAAATACCCGGAAAGCGCAAGTGTTTCACTGCTACCCGACAGATGAGTCTGTGTCTGACATGTCGGACACGGATGCCATTTTCACAAAATACTACTACGGAAGTGCCTTCTGTGCGACGACTGTAAGGTTGTGAAACTTTGTGGAAAGAAGCATTTCACTGACTGATTTGCTGCGACGCAATTTAGACGCTTGATCTGCGAGAGAGAAAATTTGAAAATGGGTTGTATTTTTGTTTGTATGGAATAAATGTGAGTAGAAATTAGCTTGCATTGGGCCGAAGTGGATGCTATAATAATTCATGTGCTATCCAGTAATGTTGAAGCCAAATAAAAAATTTACTGATGCAGGAAGGTTGTCTGTATAGGTCGTTGAGATAGTGTCATGATCCGGTTTATCCGATGCCCATTGCTAAGGCCGAGGACAAAAAAAAATGGGCATATTAGAGGCAATTGTAGTTGCGTTAGAACTGTAATTGTATTTATAATATTTGTCTTTGCGTGCTCCACAAGAAATTTTGTTTGCTGGGATTAGCCTTTAGGGTGGATATTAGCATGTTATACTTGAGGCTTCGATTGCAGGAGTGAATGCCTTTCATATATTCATTTTCTTCTAAACATTGCAGGTCATTTTGGGCAATCTCTCAGAAGAAAACGCTGTGAATCATGCATCACTTCCTCGGGAAAGCGGCGACCCACCAGCATAGTCAACTTTTGGAACCACGAGACCTTTTTGTAGTGTATCATTGATCTGAATGGAGAGGCAGTTTAGAATCAAATTGCTGTGGCTTGGTTTTGACATACTGCAACCCTATTTTACTAAACCCACTGAGTCTTATTCAGTGCCATTCATGTAAATGGAGAATGTGATCCAGTGTCTATGCCTTTATCCTTTCGGATGCTAGCAAATTCTCCCACTCGAGCTTGTGCTTTTTGTTTTAACTTGTTTTTATTTTTTAAACTTGTCACAGAGTGAAGACGGAGCTTTCACTACACCCATGCCACTGAGTGCAACGGTATCCACGTGGCATTACTGCAGCTGGCAGAGCTGCTGTAGTTGCTCCAGTGGCACACTTCGTCGCACCATGTGGAGACCAAAATGGAGCTCACCAATGGTTGCATGTGGCATTAGTGTGCAAGCTGACAACCTGTTAAACATGGATCTAAGATAGAAATGCACCAATAGATTTATATAATTCGGAGTGGCATCTCTTGATTTGAGAGCAGACGACACTTCAACAGTGTTTTAGTTTAAGAGAACGTGTGTGTTTTTTGGTAACAACAGATAAATTGGTATATATGCCGTAAGATACTGGGCAAAAGCGCCACTTCATTCGAGCGCCCTCTATTAACATTTACTCAACTTGGGAATTCTGCAAATGGTACGTTAAGTGCCCGATTTGACTGGGCAAGTGTCCATGCCTAGAATAACCCAGTTTTCAGTAAAAGTAAGGTAGGCGCCCCCCTGGGATTTTACGATAAATGTTTTTTTGTGAAACCGTAAATTTTTTAATGGCTGTCTCGCACCATTAATGTCATGGCCCGATGACATCAATGGTATGTTCACCTATGACACCAGTGCTGATCAGCACTGATGTCATGGGTGAGCAGTGATGCCTTTCATCTTTGTGCAGCCTATACTGCGTTTTACAGCCTTGACAAGCTACTTTCAGTTAGAAAACATAACTGCTTTGATTCCATGATTTCGTGCCAAGAGAGCCTCGGATGGCGAAAGGGACAGCCCCCTCTCAGCAAGGACGGGTCGGACGGGTGACGAAGAAAGATCCAGCTGCAAATGTAGAAAGAAATGCCAGTGTTGCTTCTGCCCTTACTCCAGCCACATTGTTTCTGAGATGACGGTACAGAAAATGACATAGATTCCACAAGGGTGAAAGGCCATTGCAGTGCTAGGTTCACCAAAGAGTTTGCACAAACCTCCAGCTTGCTATGCCATTGAAATGTTCGTACAGAAAAAATAAATTAGTGTGGACATGTAAAAGACATCTTTGCTCTGTACAACTTTTTGTATCACCAGACAATTTGCATGGAAGAGCAGCCACACAAGTATTAGCCCAGTGGAAAACCAGTTACAAGACATTTAAATGAGCACCAGAAGTGTAGACATCTAAAAGCTACTATCGCATGACGTTTGTATAGGATGTTTTCTCAGAAAAGTCATCAGCAGCTCCCTGGTGCGTTTAATTGCTGCTAATGAGCCCTGGTGGTTAAAATTTCATGAATGGTGGTTGCTGCGTAGGATTAAATATTTGCAGTGCTTGCCCACAATCTTCTGTTGCCCATTATCTTGTGTTGAGTAAATAAAAAAAAATTAATTCTCGGAAGCTCTTTTGAAATTTTGCATATAAAAACTGTGCTGGTGTTACAGGAAGCTGTAACTGCAATATATAGCCACCTCGGTGCCTTTGAGGCAGAGCACCAGCTTACGGATTCCTAGGTGGCGGGTTTAAACCCTGGCCGGGGTGCCTGTGATATGACGAAGGCATATTGCGGAGAAGGTGCCATGTAACCGAGATTTCGGTTGCACATCGAGAGATCCCCAGGCGATCAAGATTAATCCTGCCCTCTGCTGGGACATATTAGACGCCCTTCTTTGGTTTGGCATGTAAAACCCCGAAACTTGTTGTTGCAGCTGCACTGTGCACACTATTGGTATAAAGTAAATTTAACGATTGTTAATTTTTTTTTTTTTTTTTTCAATTATAAACATTAGTTACTGCCCCTGCAGCTCCAGAAGTGTTTGCAGTCGTGCAATTCGTAGTAGTAACAAAGCATACTTGTTTCTAACTTGGGAACTTTGTTTTTTATATATAGGTACACCATTGGTCAGTGACAGCTTAAGCGTTCAGGGAAAACTCCTCCCTCCCCCTTTTACTTTAGCAGAGCAAACACGAGAGGAGGCAATCTCTTCAGCATCCGCTCTGTTAAGGTGGAAAGAGGCGAGAGGAGCTCGCCAATAGATTTCTGAGAACAGTTTTTACTGTTTACAAAATGAAAGTGCCTTGGAGATGTACATAAAATCTATGTATGGTGTAGTTGTGGTTGACACTATATGAAAGGATTTCCTTGGGTTACCTTTAATTTCTTATGTCTGAAGTTTTTTTTTTGTATTGTTAATAAAGTTTTTCTATTGGTTGAGTAATGGCAGTAGTACACTTTTGTGTGATTTGTTTCATGTGGTGGATCACTGGAAACAAACTTCTCTGTCCATGTCTAATTTTCTTTGTATGACATGTTGTACCCAACCCTGCAATAGCTTTCAGTGGACAGCCATCAATATGTCTAATCAAAAGTATTGTCATTTTGTTAAGGGGTCAGACTGGATGTCACCTTCTGCCAAATTATGTATTACTTAGTGTTTTATTCCAAAACTTTCTGTGTGTTCCAGTTGTGTATATTGTCAGTGTACTGCGTATGTTGTCTCTGCATGTGCAACCGATTTCCTTTGCACATGATGCATTTCCCATCTCTGCTATAGCTCCCAACTGTAGAAGTGTCACAAACTGTGTGAACCTGCAGTGTTCAATGTTAAAAAAATCGAAGGGAACTAAAAGTATGCCTATTTCACGTGCCTCCCCTACAGGGCCCATCAAGATAGCCTCGGACGATGACTGGCAAGACTTTGACTACGACGACGATAGCAACCGCTTCTCTTCCCAGGAAGGGTGGTACAGGCCGCGATCCGGGAGGAAGGCGCACCCGAAGAAGGGTCGGCACAAGTGCCGTTTCTGCTCGTACTCGCGCAACTGCAAGAGCAACATTGTCATGCACGAAAGGACTCACACGGGGGAGAAGCCGTTTGGCTGCCGCTTCTGCCCTAAATCGTTCAGGCAGAAGGGTCAGCTGGTGTGTCATGAGAGAACGCACACGGGCGAGAAACCCTTCCAGTGCCCCATCTGCCACCGAGCGTTTGCTCACGTGAACAGCTTGGCGTATCACAAAAAAATTCATGCAGAGCAGATGAGGGTCGTGCAGCTGTAATGTCCAACAAACAGCGTTTGCACGAAGCAGTGGTTTAACTCTTCGTCAAACAAAGAATGAGCCGAGTGAACCTATACGCTTTAAATGTCAGTTTAGTAGTCCGCATACCTTGCAAAGCCGAAGTGTACTGTTCCGAGAAAAGCCTTATGTCTAGTGTTTTTGCAGCCATTCTTTCGTGCAATCAGTAAATTTTTGTGTGTAAAATAATGTGTAACTTCTTGCGGAGGGCAACTGTAGGTGACGAGATATGCATATCCAAATAAAATGTTTGGAGTTAAAACCTGTGTTGTGTGACTGGAGCTAGCCCCATCAGTGATATTGTGCACAGCAATGCAGCTCTGGTCTGGGGAATGGGGCCTTAAATGGTGGATCTTGATTTGTCACCAATATAATGCAAAGAAAGTTACTAATATGTGCAGATACATCACACATCACAAATACAACAAATATTTGGACCCAAAGATGCAAAACATATTAATACTAAATTGAGCTGTTCATGTACATTTATAACATTAATGTAACGTTAAAAAATTGTAGCAACAATCCTTTTAATAGCATGGAACTCGCACTTTGATTGCCCCATTACAAAACCAACTATAGTTTATCGTGTATGCTTATAAATAGAGACTAATATTAATCTTCATATATTCTGCTTTCTCAGTCATAAATGTGAAAAACATTACCCTCTATCTTTGAAAGTAATATAGCATAGTCTCGCATGCCTGCCCTGTCAAAAGACATTTCAGAATGACTGTCGGGAGTCATGGAGTCTGCATGAAAAAAGTACTACCCACGTTCATGTTGCAATTAGTTGTATTGGCTCCGACAAGAAATTTCACAGCAGATTACAGATGACGCACATCACTTGCACCAAAAGGGCAACATTTAAAAATTTTATTTTGAAAATACTAGACGATTTCCAGCAGCTGTGCATGGGCGGCGCCATAGCCAACCTTCAGTTTTTGTTTCCTCTTTTTCCGTTTACTTCACTTCATCATTGCCACAGCAGGACAGGCTATTGCCACTTTAGGTGCTACTGTGTCCTCACCAGCATAGGCCTTTGTGGAGGCTTGTCAACGCCTGCTTCAGTGGCTCAACATCTTGGTAAGACGAGAAGGTCGGCAACGGCGGCTGTAATCGGGCACATGTGTAAAGCGTCTATAAAACGAAATGAGCAATTTTAGCAGCACAACTTGCTATGTAGGTGGGCTTTTCTACTAGCAACACATAAAGCCAGCATGTAAGCAAACGGATATGCTAGTAAACGTGATGCCTCTGACTCTTAGATTGTCAGACTGCAATTCATTTCCGACACCTTAAAAGGTCAAATTGTGGGTTCTTTTTGTGATAAAAACACATATACTAGGTGCTTGCAGAAAAAGGGCATGCTGAATGAGCAGAGGGTACCGTCCGGAGTTTATGCTTTGTTGCACTGCTTCCCTGCCTTATCGTGAGATTGCTTCCGAGACCATGCAATGATTTGGAGACGTCCGACCTTTGAAAGATTGAAGAAAAAAAAAATCTCAAAAGAAAACAAACACGCAGGAAACATGGGAGATCTGTGGAACTTATTTAAATTCAATTTTGGACCTTTTTTTCCATGAGACATTTGTTTATTAGATTGAATTTTCGGCATGAGCCAGTTTGCCTCGGCCTCTCTAGCTATTTGGTCCGTCTAAATAATCATAACTTTTTCCTTCTTTTGCACAAATTGTAACTGCATTGTGCCTCTTATCCAAAATTAAAAAAAAAAAAGAACTTGAAATTAGTTTATTTTAAGCCAATTCTATTACAGGTTTAACTCGGGCGGCGGAGAAAAGCTCATCGGAGAAAAGCTCACCGGAGATAAGCTCACCGGAGATAAGCTCACCGGAGAAAAGCTCACCGCGAAACCAGCAGAGCATGTACATCAATCTTGCTCTACGTAGCGCGCTGACTTGTGCTGACCTGGTGCTGACGGACACGCAGCGCCATAAAGTGGCCAATTGTTGAAACTGACGCGCAGCGTCAGTTTTAACGACCGGCCACCCCATGGCGCTGCGTGTCCGGTGAATGGAAGCCTGGTCGACGTGCACTAGCCAATGGGATTGCAGTGGTGTAAACGACGCCGTTGGCTGTGGACGCGCACTAGCCAATGGGATTGAAGCAGTGTAAGAAAAGCCGTTTGGCATGGTTTCAAGGCTGATGACGTCGGCTCGCTCCTTGAGACAGTTAATGCTTTCGCATTAAAAAAATACTTTTACTCTTCTGTCTGGCTGCTGTCAGTATTGCTAAACTGGTAAAAGCAGGAGCACCTTTCTCTTCCATAGCACAAAGCTGCCACACTGAATACCATGCTAGGTTTCTTACCGTGTTGTACAAAAAAGTTCAACAAGAAAGACGGTGCTGTGCTTGTTTCATGTCCATTTGGGGGTGCCATGATTCAACCAAACAGTTCAGGTCCACGAATAAATGGCACACAATGAGACACGTCGTACAGTCATGATGAGACGACTTCATGAAAAACCTTGCACATAAGCACTAGCAGTGTGGGTTAATCGGTCTGGTGGGCACATGCTTTGGTGGATCACCCTACCTAAAACAAGTCAAAAACAATTATTTCAGTGCGAGAGCTCAACTCAGAGTTGAACTCTGGTTTGAGCTGTAAAATAGGCAACCAGAATAACCGTCTCATCATTATCAACACTTTTTGTCCAGTATCAATAGATGAATGACAAATTGTGAGTAGAACCAAAAGACAGCCATAGGGCTAAGTCACATATATAGGCAACAGCACTGCATATTGGTCATCTTCACTTGGAACGCAGTTAGAAAGTCACAATAAGATCACACTCTAAAAGACAACTGATCATCGGCGGTGAGCAGCCCTGTGTCAAGGCGAACAGTTCTAACTCCAATTCATCAATGTAAAATTTTTTTCAAAGTGCAATTTTTTTCAGGTTAACAGGGGTTCAACTTGCAAAGGAAGAATATTTGTGTGATAAGATACAGAGCTAAAGTGCAACACCAGCATTTATTAGAGTTTATTTGCTCAATAAGAGAGCCAAAGCATGGCGAAAGGCAACAGGATGAAAGTTTTCCTGTAGACCTTATGTTGGAGCACACTATAAATAACAATCCAATTATACAACTCTACAAAACGACAAGAGCTTCGCTAATTCCATTACAAGTTGTAAATTATGCTTAGATGAAGCAATATCAAAGAATGACCTCATGAATCCAATTTACCACATTCGGGTGAATTGAGCCTCCCCTCCATGAACTTTGGCACTCTTCAAGCTTTTACTGGCACTTGTGCTGGAGTATGACCAGTTGCATTACGTCTCCTCGCATTCCACTACGTGTTACACACACCTCGATTGCCATAGTAATTAATAGTCTCATCCTAAGCAGTCAGGAGCAGTCACACAACACAGTCGTTCCTACAAAGCGTGTGTTTCCAGGGTTAATTTTTCTTAGAATTAGGGGGTGTTTTTATCAATGGCAATCAGTTCGTCGAACGACGTTTCATTGACAGATTGTTTCGTCGACATGCGACATTTCATCAACAGTTTGTTTCATCGAAAGGCTTCCCGCATTCGTTCCATCGACAGCCTTGTGACGATAACTGACTTCCATACCTATGGCACCCATCTACTACCCACGCACCTTCCGACTGGCACAACAACCGACAAATGGCGGCAGCGTCCTCGGCACAAGCTTACTGCCCAGCTGCGTCAAAAGCAGACAATGTTTCTGAACCTAAACGACACGCGCTCAATAAAACAAACAAAACCGATGGCTTGTCGAGTAATTTCAGCTACATGTCTGCTTCTGGTGCGACCGGGTGGTAAGCCTGTGCCAGGGCCGCTGCCGTTATCTGTCGGTCGTTGCACCAGTCATGGATAGCAGATAGGTGCCGTAGGTAGGGAAAATCAGTTTTTTCACTTCTTACTCACATAGGTTTGTTCTATGAAATTTTCATATGATGCTTCCACCACCTTCAGGCATCTGTGGCAACTTGTAGCGTGATACAATATTGAGCCGATTTAAGCGATCACTTTAACGGCTTTATTCAGATAGCACTTGCTACCAATACCAGACAGTATCTTCTCACTGACAAGCATCTAGAAAGAACTTCTCCCTTTTATCTGAAAAAGACCTGAATCGGAGTTTTGTTAGCCTTTTGATGCCACCGTTAAAATCGAGAGCAGCACGAAATTATCCATAATGCAAAGATCCTTTATGACATGCAAAAACACAGTTTGCTTTTCTTGTAAATACCCTGCGCACTCTGGAATATTAATACATCACTGCACACCAATTTTTGCTGTGTCAGCAATTTTGTCTGCCTGTGCACGCCGGCTCAAAAATGACTTTTATCACCTCACAATGATGATGAAATAGAAGTCATTTTGTGAGCCCCCCACAGGATGGCTCTCTCCTCCACCTTCACCTGCTGAGTGCAGAGAGGAAAAAAGGTACAGAAGAAACAAATAGAGAGGAGGGTTCCTAAAATACTGCAGCAATGGCTGTCTAAATTTCGTGTCATAGCATACGTTAACTTTTTTTTTGGGGGGGGGCGGGGGGCATATTTGGTATACTATTGGCTGAAATTGTGTTTTTCGGGAGTTTATATGCCTTTGAGGTAGGGTAACCATAATCTACAGCATAGAAAACGGGGCATCGTGGAGGGCGGGACATTGTGGTGGTGAGGGGGGGGGGGGGGGGTGCAAGCAAAGCAGGAGCGGGGAGAGGGATTGGAAGAAAAAGCAAGCTCTGCTACTATTTACTCTACTGTATAAATGGACACTTTCCTGAAATTCTTCGTTTAAGTGAGTACACAAGCTCTTTTCTTCATTATTCATTTTTAAACCAAACCGAGGCAGGCCAAATAGTATAGAAAAGTGATTCAAACTAACATCTCTGCAAACAGAACATATCGACGGTGGAACCACGGAAAGAGCTACAAATTTACTCTATGGGAGGTAACATTTTAATGTTAATTTGTATATAATGTATCATGTATTTTTTTTTATTTCTTCCACTTGCTTGGCACTAATTTCGCGAGTATGCACACACATTCCCACAAAAACGAGACGAGGCTTCACTGAAAGAAAAAAATTATGGTACGGTAGAAATGCACCCCTAAAACGGTACTGTGTCAGACAAAACGGGATGTCTGGTCTCCCTACTTTAAAAGACAGTGAGCTCTCAGCGGTCTTGAATGTGGTTATCCCATATAAGTTGAATTCCCCCTACATACTGGAAGTTTGGGCAAGGAACACAAAAATACCTGAACTGGTCCTATCTTTTCCAATTTTCAACAAAAACCCAACTCAATTTTCATTGCAAATCTTTCTGCCCAACATTTAACAATCATCACAAACAATAAAAAAGAAAAGCATGTCTACGTGTTCTGTAAAGAGTAGAGGGTGCAGCAAAAGTCTTTAGCTAATTTTAGCATGGTTTAAAGAAAAACGGGTCCCCCTGTTTAGAAAGAAATAAAACATTAAAGACATTGCCAATTAGGAAATCATATAAAAGTAAGAAGATAGAAAAATACTGCTCCTCAACAGTCATCGCTATAGGGGTTCATATCACATGAGCGAATGACGTTTCAGCGAACAGTGTTATTTGAGCGAATCAACATTTTAGCGAATAACGGGGACGCACGTTAACCCACCCCCCGCACAGCATTCACATCGCTTCACAGCGACAGTCTGCGGCGGCTCATTACAAAAATGTAAATTCATGTGGTCCACCCAAAAACGCCGCTTCGCAGCAATCGATTATTTGCTAAAGTGTCTTTCGATGAAAAGTCGGCGTTTGCTAAAACGTTGTTCGACCAAGTGAGTGCCACCCTCGCCAAAGTCACCCTGAAGAGCCGAGTAGGCCTCAAAAGATGGAGTCCCTAGTTTTAGGATTTTGTTGGTTGTCGTCCTTTAATTATTATTATTATTATTAGAAAATCATTTAGTACACACTTTCAGGTGCTCAGTGATGGATGCCGCATTTGACTTTCTGTAGCAGGTTTTGTAGTAGGCAAAGCTTTGATTTGGAACAGCCAACAATGCTTTTTGAGCAGATGTCAAAATCTGCTAACAGATAGCTTGAAAAAAAAAAAAGTTGCATTAATAAACGAGTTTATTTTTGAAAATGACTGAGGGTTCCTCTTTCATACCGAAGCGTATTACTTGTTACCTTCTGTAAAAAGAATACATAGAATGCAAAAGGAACACACAGCATCTTTTCTAGAAATAAGGCTCAGGTCAGAGTAAGTTCTGTTTACAATGGGCATTTAAAAAAAATTGTTGAAAAATGAACCGTAGCGCAACGCTTCAGTTGACATAAAACCTCTCTCTCTTCTCTCTCTTTTACGCACGAAGCTGCTTTAGCCTGTAAATATAATTTCTTTAAAATGCTGGCAAAAACAGCATATCCTCTAAAACTTTGCATTAATTAATGCTGCAACTTTGACCAACGAAAATATGTCCCCCAAGTTTTATGAGCCCATCAGTCAAAATTCTAATATAAACTATAAAAACAACCCCTCGCAAATATCATGAAAACCCAGTCTGCAGAAGTGCTTTAAATGTGACACTGTGCTTCAGCCCTGTTGGAGCCAGAGTTGAGTCAGAGTTCACTGCCCTTTGGATTGACTGCTGGAACTACATTGATTAGAATTCATTCAAATTTAAATCCACATTTCTTTTCTTTTTTTTTTTTTGCACTTTCCTGGTACAGCTTTTCAGAGGTCAACCTATAATCAAGACCAAATAATGTCGACCTGTAATAGTATTGCGCACAATTTTCGAGCTCACCATGCTAAGACAGGCACTCCTCCATCTTAGCTGTTGCTCCTCACACAACAGTGCAATGCGGTGAAGGTTGACATGTGCGGCGCTAGTGCCACGGTACACTGTGGTCACGGCAGGGGGGCATTGGCAGACATGATTATCGAGTGATGTCATGAAGAGCAGAAGACCCTAGTTCACTCTTATCACAGCAGTCACCATCCTATTTCAAAAATCACTCTGGTGACAATTAGCTCTTGACATTGCCAACATCACATGGGATTTCAGACAATGACGCGACGGGTGCAAGTCAATGAGCAGCTGACACTACGAGCTGCTGGGACCAATAAAACAGTGTCAAAAGCGCAATATTGTGGCATTTGTCGTCTTTCTCAGTGTTCTTTCATTGGTAAAATCAACGAAGCGCAGGGAGCGCCCCGTGACTTGCGCTTTTAGTATTTGCGTTTGGGTTATAAGCATTTGAGCATTTGGCCGTGCTTCGACCTAAAATTAAACAAAGCATACAGTGAGTAAAGATGCTTTGAAATAAATATCTGTACCGTTTTTCTTCTTTTACACTTTTTTTAATATTAGGGTCAATTAACATTAGAATGTTTTCTTTCATTTGTGTGAGCCTATCTCCGTGCAAGTGTGGCACAATTCTTAGCAAAAACGGCATTTTGGTGCGAGATGTGGCAAACACATTTAATGCAAAATGGCGCATTACTGCCATAATTGGCTGTTAGTCTTGCACTGGATTTTAAGGATTAGATCTCTTAAAAAGATTATAAGGGTTCAAGTTCTAAAAAAACCTTTCAAGACATGCCTGTACTGGACCGCCTCGCTATGTAACTTCGTATCAGCATAGCCAAATACTAAATGTGCACATTCTTGGGGTACAACGAGAAAGTAGGCCATTTCTAACTTCAAAATAAGTTATATAAATCTTAAAAACTTTTCAAGGTTTGTTGAATAACTCATCCCCAGTGTGTCTTTTCATGGAGCACCAAGTTAGACCTGTGTGGGATTGACTTCTTGCACGTCTGACACTCGAAGGGCTTCCCCCTTAGGTGCATTTTTTCGTGATCCCTTAGGCTGACCTCGAGTGCAAACGCCTTGGAACAAAAGCGGCAGCCGAGGTGCTTGTGCTCCATGTGAACCTCCTGGTGGATTGCTAGGGACCAGGAGCGAGCAAATGCTTTCTGGCAGAGCTGGCAGCGGAAGCGCCTGCCACCAGTGTGGATCCTCAAGTGATCCGCCAAGCTGTCGCTACGGACAAAAGCCTTGTGGCAGATGCGGCAGACATAGGGCTTCTCCCCAGTCTGCTTCCTCTCGTGCTTGGTGATGTCGCTGATGAGGTCGCTCGAGTACGTACAGAAGCTGCATCGGTGCTTGCCCCTCTGCGATTGGCTGACTCCTCCATGACTGGCTCCTACTGGCCAAGAGGGAAGAGTGCTCCAGCTACCGCCAAAGTTGAACTGCTCTCCTTTGGTGTTGGAGGCTGTCTCCTCTTGCTCTGTTGGGAAAAACACCACCACATCAAAGACTTTGTTTTTAAATAACGGCACTTGTTAAAAAATGCTTAGATTCCCATCAAACTTCTGTGAATGGCTTCGCTGAGCTTTAGGCCTAAATGAGGCTCCAATGAAAAAACAGTGCCTCATATATTTAGCAGGAAAGGGATGCATGCTCAGTCTGTCATGTCACATCTGTCCGTGACACTACATCTGTTTATGATGTTGCATTGCTCTTCAGAATCACCCCCATGGCAAGCAATGAATTCTTCATCAAAAGAGCAGATGAGGTAGGCAGTTTTTGCCTGCTGGTGGATCTGTCGGCTGCAGCAACTGAATGGGCTGTGATCATTAGGAAATTAGTTAACGAAGACTTGCTACAGTCAAGCCCAGTTATATCACACTCGGAATTTCTAATTACAGTTTATATCGTGAGACGCAGCTTGAGTCCCGCTCAGCTCGTACGCTGGTTTTGGCAGTGATTTCTTACCCTCAGTTTCAAGTGAGACTAGCCGGCCCAGCAGCGCATAGCCGTAGCCTTCCCAAGCGAAGCGTACCAGACGCGTGACATTATCTCGTGATGGGCCTATCAATGCAGTTTTGCCATGCTGGCCGTCCATATAGATAAGCGCAACTTCTGAAACAACATTTTGAGAAAACCATTTATAGGGGGTGCAACTTGTAGACAAGAAAAGACTGTTAGCCTTTTATAAGAATGCACACAAAACTGCATCTTTCTACTTTAGCTAAAGTTTTTTTTTTTTTTTTTTGTTACTATTGCAGGGATGTTATGGCCCAAGTCATTTTGGAGAACCTTAACTAAACTAACTAAAAGACAATGACTACTTTACCTTTTCACTTCTTTGCAACCTCTTGTTAGCATCTACTGTACGGCAGGCTTGATTCCCTCAAACACAAAAATGGCTGTTTTGTTGCACACAAAAACACTATAAACTGCTGTGTATAGTTATTGTAGTGGTATAAAATAAAATGTAAACCAAATAGTATATTCCTTTGAAATAATTTTGGACCAGTGTAATCTTGAGCACAAAAGTTGATGTCTTATAGAGTTCTAAATGTTGTAATAAAACTTAACCTGTTAAATAAAAAAAAAACTTTTTTTATTGGATTATGAAATTACGCTTTATATGTAGAACTCTATGATAACAAAAATCAACATATGAATCATAATATACTATTTGAAAACAATCCAGCCAAACTGGTTAAGCATAGTCCCAAGACTCCTTCCACTGCTTCATCTAATTTAGTTTTAATTCACTTTATTGACTGTATCTCAAACTCGTAATACCTATATAAAGATGGTAACTAAACAAGATAGTTCAAATTAAGAATAAACCTACAGAGAAGTTCATATAAATTTCCTTACAAGTACCCTTGCTAGCTATAGAATCTGAAATATATATATCCAGAACATTGCAGTCTCTCATAAATAACAGCAGCAGTTCTATAAAAAAATTTTTACTGCAAAGTAAAAATAGAATAAAACTGCAATAGTGCAAAGTAGAGTTGTTACATTAATGCTCGCCAAGTTATCTCCCTTTTATTTATAATGTACCCGAGGCCTGTGATTTTAACATATCCCACTTTGGGGGAGTGCTTTCCTCTCAAAGCCATTTTTTCAGTACAAATGGTTTTAGCACAAATACAAAGTATATTCAGGCAAGGTAAGCAAAATCGCGGAGCTTACTTTGTGGCTGTTTCACTGCATTACACAAGGAGGCGGTAAGAAGCACACTCGACAAAGCTAACTTACCCGCCAGAGCAGACTGCGAACATGACTTGATTTTTCGAAAATTTAGAGTACTGTCAGTGTTCGACAGAGAGGTTAAATCATACAGTGTGTTATTTTCGGCAATAATCAAAAGTTCTGAAAATTTGAGCAAGCCTACCATAACGATCTAAACAAGTAGGGGAGCCTCAGCCTACTATATGTTTTCCATTACTCGCAAGCATGCATACGTACATGTCAAGCATGCATGAACGCTGGTGCATTACTCGCACGACATCCAACCTAATTGTTCTCACTTAGCTCACCACTCCAAGTACTATTTCAGTGGCATACTTCCACAACAGGGATGTGGAATGACAACCTCACCTTTCTTTATTGGACAGGACTGGTTGTCACATTCCTCTGGTTGGACTTGATTGGCTGCTGGATTGCTGAAATTCTTCTTGAACAGTACTTCCCACACTTCGTCTGAAAAGAAGCAGAACAGCATGTCGAATTACATTATACAAAAAAGGGTTCCAGTCAACAAGAAAAACTGCATAATGGAATATATCTAGACAAACTATTTTATAAGATGCTGCACACATAACTGCTAATAAATCAAGGGTAACAAGGGCAGGCATAAACTTTGCTGTATCAACAGTGGAACAAGGTCGAATAAAACATGTTCATAAATTTATAAATGCCGAAGAAAATTAACAACTCGAAGTTTGCTACATCGTTTACGACGTGGATTTGTCCCGTTTACTCAATGCTGACAGCTCAAAAGAATGGCTAACCGATTTGCTTTTCTAGTGTTATCAACGAAAGAAACCAGACAAACTGCAAATTGTGACAAAAGGAGCCCAAGCAAGCATTTCCGATTTTTCCCCCCCATTTATCTCACACTTGAAAAGGCAACACCAAAAAAATTACTACAACAGAATGTGCAAAATGTGGCATCAAGTAAGATTGTAAAATTAGGTATACAAAATTAACATTGCCTGACTAAAATGTGACAAAGCCTTCATGAGTTGTTGCCACAAATTCTGGCGTGCAGTGTAAACGAGCACCACCTCCACAAGAAGAAAAGATGTTAATCGAGAACCAATGCTACCACTACGTTGCTTTTGTTTGGTTCACAAACTAAACAGCTGCTCTGAACAGAAACAGCAGGCGATGATTGGGCACATAGCTCCTTGGTAGCTCCTTCCAAAAGCACTCCTGATTGTTCCTCGATGATGGATGACAGAGTTCAACCTGTATTCATGAAAGATGGTGAGCATGAAACATGGCAACACATGCACAAATTTAGCAAACCACTCCCAAGTGTCACACGGCAAGAACAGACATCCTAAGCCACATTCAGTTATCTGAATAGCAAGGGGAATACTAAAACTACTGCCTTGTCATTTTACTGGCACGATTACTTCTTCAAAAGACAGCAGGCAAGGTCTTCAGTAAAGGCTAGTGATTCCTCAAACTGTAATCTTTGCCAGCACAGCGATTATAAGCAAGCTTTGCAAAAAAAGTAGCTAAAACGTTGATATAGTATGTACTTTTCAAGCACTAATTTCAAGCATTCTTTTTTCTTTTCTTGAGCGCGTTTTTTGCAGGTGGCTTCGGCGCCGGGAGAGTAGAGCAGAGATGCCCTCACCCTTTCACTGACAATAGTCGCTGTTGAGGAGCAGTGCGTTTGGCCAATTGGGATCGCGGCAGGGGTCGATTATGCGTACGCTCCTCGCCACATGCTCGTTTTCGCCTTCGGTCACCCATTCCCTCAGTTGCACGCAAGGATGGGGCCGCCAAAGCATACGCCAAAGCAAACAGCAGCTACTCGACAGCGTCTATGTTATCAATGTCTGGTCACCTCCGTTTTTTAGCTCACCTATCTCTGCCCATTGCGTAAACTTTCACACTAAAAGGATTTTTTTTTTTTTTGGTGAGGTTGGTTTTTTGCCAGGTTGAAGTATGAATCTGTTCCGATTGCGATTGTTCGAGTGTCACCCCCTCACCAGAGTTCAAGGTTGTTTTGCTTTGCGTGTCCAGGTCTTCATGTTACCTTCTGGTCTTTCGGCTTCCTTCTTCCTGCACATACCTATAAAAGGTCGTGAAGCATGAAATAAATGTTTTGGAGATCTGTGTCGTGTTTGTCCTCCTTATTCACACTCTCCAGGGTTAAAATGTCTATATTCATCCAGCTCGCACGCACCCTTGCTTTAACTTAAAAGAACTTGCGCAAGAAAACACTTTAGTTAAACGTTTACATCTTTTTTTCACAAACACTGCATGGAACTTTTGAAACAATGTGTATCTGTAAGTTATGAAGTTCATAATTAACTATCCATATGCAAAAGTAACAATACACACACCAAGATGTTCCGGTGCCGCCTTTATGTTTTTCATCCATGACGTCCTGACTAGGATTCGCCTGTCCGTGATGTCACAAGTTGTAACCCTTGCTACTTCTCAACAGTTGCAACGACTGGATCAATGGAGTGTTTAAAAAGCATGGTGGAAGATAGGAGACATCGCAACACCATCAAAGGTGACAGTCTGACAATGCTCTTATACCATGTGGTTTAGCCAACCATGAAAGGTCAACCGAAGCACGCTTTTGGATGTGCATGTCGCTATTAGTGAACATAGGTCATGACATGATAAACAAGTACTACATGTAAGTTCAAACAATTTGTGAAGTGAGACATGGAACAAGCTTGTGCCTTTTCTCTTTACATGAAAGTAATGGGATGTCAGATTCACAGCACAATACAATGAATTTGTTCCACTGCAGTTATTTGTAATAGGAAGTCAAAACACTGCAGGTCAGGCAGAACCATCACCTGAAACACAGGAAACCTGTCTTAGCAGAGTAGCATATTTACTGATTTTGTTGCAACACAACGCTTTACACGTATCCACCCAAAAGGTTGCACTAGGAGAAGCATATTAGCCACCCTTCTCAAATAGGGATCCGCATCAGGCGAGAGTCCACGTTCGACAAACGCACACTCTTATAAGAGTATATTCAACGTAGGTTACAGCTCACGTTGCACATGCAAAGTATGAGGGTGTACGCCAGGCCAAGTGGGAAAACTGTATAAAAACAAAATGCAGAAGATCAAGCTAAAGTATTCGAAAACAAACTTTACGCTGTCGAAGCAGCTCCGACACATCCGCACGGAGGAAAGGCATCAACGGCGTGCTTTGTCGGAAGTTCACGAAAGCTGCATGCATCTCCGTGATACCCCGGAAAAACAGGCGATCGCTGACGGCACATCGTGACTTCAATTCATCAGTGCGGCCAGAATCGAAGGAGGCCAGGGACCACCGCACCGACCGCAAGCTCCGCACACATTTGTTTGCCAACAATTGGAAGACTGGATCAGATGGACGGATGGACGTTACGTTACCCAGAGCCGTATATGACGTTACCCGTTACCCTTTATAACAGGCGGTAGCCTGGTAGCCTGCGTCACCTAGCCTAGACGCCTAGGTCGCCTAGGCGGCCTAGGTCTCACAAGCATGCTCACAAGACAAGCCACTTTCAAGACTCCCTCCATGCAACACTTCGCGCATTGCACGCTAGGAGTCGCGGAACAGGGTAGCATGGTTTTTGTTTCATCCGTTTCATCAGACAGCCGCTGTCTGTACTCCTGCAGCCAAGCACGTGATCGTCCAAGCCTGCATAACTTTTCTTCACGCGCATGCGAACGCGCTTGCACGACAGGGGCACCAGCAGGGATGTTGCAATCCATCGTTCTACATTTGCCTGCTTTGCCCAAACTCCAGCACATCGGGAGCCACAAAAACAGTGCCAAGTCTCTTTTAATATTTCTTTCGGTATCTCTCGGCACCGCCTACAGTATTGCGCACTTGTAGGAAGTCGCAGCAATGGAAATGCAAGCAGCGTGTCTCGTCACAACACGATGATCATGACAAAATCTGAAACTGAAACCAAAACTAAGTGGCCCAACTGGTACCCAGAATTCATTTCGTGCCACCGTCCCACCAGGGCAGAGCACCAGGGTGATCAGTGGCGCCGCAGCGGCTGTCCCTATTCGCACTCCAAGTGCGGATAATTTTGGATTCTTAACCGCACTCCGAGTGCGGATTGCGTTGGATTCTTATCCGCACTCCGAGTGCGTGGGGCGAAGAACTTGGCGTGTGGCGTGGCGCGACTTGGACGCGGGAAACTTTGAACATAGTGACTTACGATGTTCGTGGTGTGACATTGGCATGTTGGCAGCACCGATTTCATAGAAATATTAGTGGTTGTGCGGTGTTTGATTGGGAGGAGACCTGTGTTTCAGAATGAATTCAATTTCAAACAAATGCATAATCGTAAACATATAATTAAAACAGCGCGAACGAACACAAGGACAAGTAGAAAAAGAGGCACAGCCGCAGCGCTGACTCGCGATTTACTCTCTTTTTTGTCTTCTTAAAACACATCAACATAAGAAGACGCAAGTCAGCGCTGTGTTTGTGTCCCTTCTTCTACTTGTCCTTGTGTTCGTTTTCGCTGTTTTGATTATATGTTCACTATGCACCACCGACTAGCTCACCTCCAAACATCACTGCAAATGCATAATCGCTTTTTTTTTTTTTTTCGAAATTGATTAGCGCTAGATGGTGTATTTGGGTAGAGACTGAACTGTACTCGCGCCTCGGGGGCTTGAAAAAGAGCATGAACACAGGACGTAAGCAATCCTATTGTTCCTTCAGTATCCTTTTTTTTTTTTTTTTTTTTTTGTTAAACAAGATATTATTATATCTTGTTTAACAGTGTTCGTGTTCCGCACCCTCGGCATATATGTTTAACATCTTCGATCACACAACCACACAAAAACATCTTTTAACTGCCATCACATTTATCGTCGTCTACTACAGTAACAAAAGGCCGGGGACTTATCAGGCATTCCCTCACCTAGTAGTGTTGAAAGTGTTCAGAAGATTGAGCCGGGGGGGGGGGGGGGGGGGGGGGGGACTTCATTTCTTAATAATATTGTTTACTGGAAATGACTGATTTTCCTTACCCCCTCCCCCCCCCCCCCCCCCCCTTTTTTTCCTAAGCCACTGCCCCCATCATCTAAGCACAAGACAATACACGTCACAAATTGCACACTGCTCTAGTTTCTTTCTTTTTTCTTTTGTCAATAAAAATATTTAACCGTCCAAAAAAAAATATCGCCAGAACTTTTTTTGTTTTTGGGGGGGTGGGGGGGGGGATTGTAAAGCTGATGTGTTTGGGAACACAAACACGCACACACACACGCACGCACACACGCACACGCACTTGATCGCCTCTATCCGATCTTCAAGGCGTGAGTACCGTTTAATCTGAAGCGCACCACCCAATGTTAATTTTTCTTTTTTTTTTTTATAAAACAAAATACATTTTCTTGAAATTATTTTAATTCTGAAACCGGAACCGCCAATATTTCCATACGCTCGTCGAGGCTGCCAACACGCCAATGAATCAACACAAAGTTGAGAACTTCTAAACCA